AAATAAATAAATAAAAAGAAAAGCCCTTGGACCAGGTTTGCTAGTCTGATAGAGCCTGGTGGAACCACTGGGACTATGGCCCCTAGCTGACCTTCAGGTCTGGAATTGAACCCATATCTGTGGCTTCCAGCCAAACAAACGAGAGGCATATGAGTTGAACATTTCTCTGAGGTAAATATACTCCTTGGAGAGAAAAATCATGGGAGAAAGAAAGGTTGCTTGTGCACAGAGAATAGCTCAGGGGGCACGGGTGCATGGAGGTATGGACACAGGGAAGAGGTGACTGTCAGAAGGAAGTGGGAGGGGAGCTGTTGCATTGTCGTGAATTGTGGTCAATGTCATTAGACAAAGTCTATTATGAACTGCTGTATGGAAAGTGAATTTGCTCTGTAAATTTTCACCCAAATCACAAATAAATAAATAGAAAAGCCCTCACATATTTAATGGGGAAAATGTCCCATACACTACCCTGACTACCTGCCTATGAGAGCATTAACAAGAGGAATTACTCAATTGTAGTCTATCTGTTGTTTTGTGTTTAATTCTGATTTAGGAATGCACTGCATATTTTATGCTGTTTATTTTCTTGGAATATATTTACTGCCACCTCCTTTTATGAGATGGGTAGGATGATTATTATCTGCTACCCCTAAGTCAATGGAGTCCTTAATTGTCGCAAATGACTGAGCACACAACTATCGGCAGAAATGTTTGATTTAAACTCACTCAGATGTGCCTTGGAAGACAGGCCCCTGGCAATCTGCTTCTGAAAGGTCACAGCCCTGAAAACCCTATGGGGCATGTCTGTGAGTTGAAACTGACTCAATGGCAACTAATGACAACAGCAATCTCTAAATCGTAGGAGAGGAAACCAAAGCAGCGTAAAACTGAGTGGAGTTGTTCAGTCACAAAGCTTTTACTGACAGACACCGTCAGTAAAATCTACATCTCACACCTCCTTCCATGGAACTTCACTGTCCCCTAAAATAAGCCTGCAATATACAAACAAACACAAAGCAGCACTGAGTCACCCACACATACTGAGAGGCTGAGAAGAGACAGCCTGGGTTCTAAGACACCTGCAATCACAGTTATTGGTCAATCACTGACGATGGGCTTGGCCTATATCAAGTCCTTTATGTGTTATTTGATCCTCCACAAACTTTAAGGAGTTAGGTATGAGTACTCCATGGTTCTAAGAGGGAATCAAGGCTCCCAAACTTGCTCCCACTTACACAGCTAGTATATGCAAAGCCAGACTTACACCCAAGTCAGTCTGAGTCCAAAGGCCATACTCTTAACCACTCAGTCCTGCTGCAATGGGATAAGTAGGATGATGTACCTGCAGGCCAGTCCTTCAACTACCTATATACCAGGACACCTCTGGCCCAAACTGCCCCACTGCCCCTCAGATCCTGACTTACTTGACAGCCCCAACATCCTCTGCATAGCGCTGCATCTCTTCCCGGGCCCTCTCTTCTCGCAGCTCCCGCTGAAGCTCCTCAATCTTCTTTCTTTCAGCCTCATGCTTCTGCTCGGCCTTCCACACTTTCTCCACATTGCGGAGGGTCTGTGGATGCCAGCTCTTCTTCAGATTCTGTGGTAAATGCAAGGAGGAAGAAAATGCTTTAGGAGTGGGTGGGTGGTGAGTGTAACTGGCTCTGCCTCACCCATGTCACTACCCCATTCATGCTAGGGCAGGCATGCTAAGGACAAGAAGTTGTTAACAATGGCATGATTTACACCCGATAATCTCTCATAAAAATCTGAGACGTTTTTATTCAAGTACATAAAGCTTCAAAATAGAACAAGTCTTTCCTGCATTCCCTGCAAAAACTTTTGACTTTGAAAGCATAAGAGTCTGACTGGCCATGCCTCTGAGGTGGGGGTTGATGATGACTACACAGGAGAAATGGGGCAGGGAGGTAGGAAGGTATATATTCTGAAAGGCAGCAGAACTCAAAGCACCTTTGGCACTGGACATTCACTATTATGAACACAACCTTCTTTTCCTTGAATCCGCTTAGCCTGTCCTAAACTTGCATAGTTTACAATCCCACACAGTACCTCTTTCAACCTTGACTGTACCATTGCCTTGAATGTCTCTTCCCTAACCAGGTAGCTCTCCTTGGTACTGATCTACCTTTCATCCTCAAGGAATGCTTCTCCTTTGCCTCCTCCCCATCAGCTACTGCTTTAATTCAGTTTTCCAATAAGGGAAGGTTTCCTGGAGGGAATAACATCTAAGAATGATTATAAGTTAGGCCAATGATGTGGGAAGGGAAGAGTAGAGGGTAGATTTCTAAATAGAGGGAACAGCACATACAACTGTGGACCCAGTGGTGAGAAACAACATAAAACAAGTAATTCAGTGTGATGGGAGATGGAGTGCAAGTTGAGATGGAAGGGGCACAAAATGAAGCCAACTAAGAAAGGAATAGATTAAGGGCCTTATAAGCCATGTTACAGTGTTGGACATCATCCTGCTGAACAGTAGGAAACATTGAACAGTCATATGAAGGTGAGTGGCATGATTGGGTATCATGTGAAGAAGGGATCGGAGAGGGCCAAGACTGCAGACCAGGAGGCCAGCTAAGAAGTCTACATAATGACCACAAGGTACCTGGAACCAGATGACCATCGAGAGAGCCCTTGTCATCTTCTCTCTCTTTTCTTGTCCTTCCTTCCCCACATCTGGTCCACTCTTCTGTCCTTCCTTCTCTCCTTCTTCTCCATCTCTCTCTGTCCTCCTGATCCTTCCCTTTCTCCCTCTACCTTGACCTATACCTTCCTTTTTCTCTCACCCTTTGCTCTTTTTGTTTTGTTGTGGGGAAGAAGGGGCTAAATCTGGCAATTCCATGCTCAGGTTAATATACCCTTAACATGGATCATGCCCTCATTAAACAGATTACAGCAGTGGTCCTCAATCATGGGCATTTTTGTCCCCTAAGGCATTTGACAATGACTGGAGACATTTTCACTTGTCACAACTGGGGGAGCAAGATGATAACAGAATCCATCTAGTGGCTAGAGGACTGGGATGCAGCTAAACATACTACTGTACATGGAAATCACTTCCCCCACCACCCACCCACATAAACACATAACAAGGAATTATCCAGCCTAAAATGTCAATAGTGCTGGGGTTGAGAAATCCTGGATTACAGCTTTCTTGTCCCTAAATTGGAGGAGCCATGGTGGTACAATGATTACAGTGCTCAGTTGCATACCAAAAAGTTAGCGCTTCGAACCCACCAACTGCTTCTGGGGAAGTAGATGTGGCAGTATACTTCTGTAAAGATTTACAGCCTTGGAAACCCTATGGGAACATTCTACTCTGTCCAATAGGCTTGCTACAAGCTAGAATCGACTCAATGGCAGTGGGTTTGGGTTGGTCCCTAAATACAGTTGCAATGAAAAAAACACTAAATTAGACAAATCTTAATGGAGTCTTCAAACTCACTCTAGGTGATAATACCTGACAAGCTTTGTTTTTGTTAGGTGCCATGGAGTCAGTTCCCATACATAATGACCCTGTGTACAACAGAACAAAACACTGCCCAGGCATGTGACATCCTCACAACCCTTACTACAGTTGAGCTTACTGTTGCAGCGACTCCGTCAATCTATCTTGTTGAGAGTCTTCCTCTTGTTCACTGATCCTCTGCTTTATCAAGCATGTCCTTCTGCATGCACTGGACCCTCCTGATAACATGTTCAAAGTACGTACGTAAGATGAAGTCTGGCCGTTCTTACTTCTAAGAAAGATTCTAGCTGTACTTCTTCCAAAACAGATTTATTCATTCTTCTGGCAGTCCATAGCATATTCAATATTCTTTGCCAATACCATAATTCAAATATATTAATCCTTCTTTGGTCTCCTTATTCATTATCCAGCTTTCACACACATATGAAGCGACTGAATATACCATGGCTTGGGTCAGATGCACCTGAGTCCTCAAAGGGATATCTTTGCTTTTTAACACTTCAAAAAGGTGTTTTGCAGCAGATTTGTCCAGTGCAATACAACATTTAGTTTCTTGACTGCTGCATCCATGGGCATTGATTGTAGATCCAAGTAAAATGAAATCCTTGACAATTTCAATCTCTTCTCTGTTTATCATGATGTTGCTTATTAGTCCAGTCATGAGGATTTTCATTTTCTTTCTGTTAAGGTGTAATCCCTATTACAATAATGTCTGCATTCTTTTGAAGCACCTGTATTTGGAACGGGCACAAATATGAATCTCTTCCAGTCGGTTGGCCAGGTAGCCTTCCAAATTTCTTAGCATAAATGAATGAGGACATCCAGCATTGCACTCATTTGTTGAAACATCTCTATTGGTATTCCATCAATTCCTGGAGCCTGGTTTTCCACCAATGTTTTCAGTGCAGCTTGGACTTCTTCCTTCAGTACCATTGGTTCTTGATCATATGCTGCCCCTGAAATGAATAAACGTCAATCAATTCTTTTTGGTATGGTGACTTTGTGTATTCCATATTCTTTTGATGGTTCCTGCATCATTAAATATTTTGCCCACAGAAATCTTCAATATTGAACTCGAGTCCCGAATTTTTCTTAAGTTTTTTCAGCTTGAGAAATGCCAAGCTGTTCTTCCCTTTTGGTTTTCTAACTCCAAGTCTTTGTAAAGTTCACTATAATACCTTGTCTTCTCAAGCTGACCTCTGAAATCTCCAGCTCTTTTACGTCATCATTTCTGCCATTCACTTTAGCTACTCTTGGAGGTTGAACTACCAACCTTTTGATTACAGCCATATGCTTTAGCCACTGTACCACCAACGCTCCTTTCTCTTTCCACAGATGTAGTTGATTTGATTCATATGTATTCCATCCAGTGAGGTCCATGTATACAAATGTTATTTATGTTGTTGAAAGAAAAAAGTATTTGCAATGAATTAAGTCTTTGGTCTTGCAAAATTCTATTATGTGATCTCTGGTGTTTCTGAATACCACTAAGGCCATATTTTCCAGCTACAGATCCTCCTTCTTTGTTGCCAACTTTCACATTCCAATCACAGTAATTATCAATGCATCTTGATTGCATGTTTGATCAACCTCAAACTGCAAAAGTTGGTAAAAATCTTCAATTTCTTCATCTTTGGCATTAGTGATTAGTGCACAAATTTGAGTAATTATCATATAATCAGTCCACCTTAGAGGGGTAGGGATATTATCCTATCATTGACAGCAATGTACTTTAGGATAGATCTTGAAATGTTCTGTTTGACAATGAACACAGACACCATTCCTCTTCAATTTGTCATTCCTGGCCTAGTACACCATGTTTGTCCAATTCAATTTGTCATTTCTGGCTAGTAGACCATGTTTGTCCAATACTAGTCCGTTTCAGCTCACTAATGCATATGATATTGATCTTTATGCATTTCATTTCATTTTTGACAACTTCCAATTTTCTTAGATTAATACTTTGTACATTTCACATTCTGATTATTAATGGATGTTTGCAAATGTTTACTCTCATTTTAAGTTGTGCTTTAGTAGAGCAAATAACTGAACAGATGGCTAAATAGATCTATTTGCTAATTCAGTTAGCTCCACTTTCAGGTTAGCATTTTCCTGATCTTGCACCACACTCTTGTGGGCACAAGTACCCCATATGGGCCTTATCCATTGCTGTTGAGTCGACTGAACTCAACCTTATATGACAGAATAGAACTGTCCCATACAGTTTCCAAGACTATTATCTTTATGGGGGCAGGCTGCCACATCTTTCTCCCATAGAGGGGGCTGGCGTGTTCAAACCAGCAAGGTTAGGGGTCGAGCGCTTAACCACTGCACAAACAAAACAAAACTCACTGCCATCAAGTCACTTCTGACTCATAGCGACCCTCATTTGGTTTCCAAGGCTGTAAATCTTTATGGATGCAGACCGCCCCATCTTTCTTCCAGTGATGTGGCTGGTGGGTTTGAACAAATGATATTTTGAATAGCAGGCAACGCCTTAACCACTACACCACCAGAGCTCCAACAAAGGTCTTGTTGTTGTTGTTATGTGCCGTCGAGTCAGACCCTACTCATAGCGACCCCTCCTTGGGTTTCTGAGGCAGTATCACTACAGAAGTAGATTGTTCAACCTTCCTTCTGAGGAGTGGGTTTGAACCGCTAGCTTTCTGGTTAGCAGTCAAGCGCCTTAGGCACTATGCTACCAGAGCTCCTACGGGGGTCTTAGCCCCCTACAAATAAGCTATATAGTTTATGAGAAATTGCCACATAATTTATATTAAGCATTATAAATTCAGAAGAAAGCTCTGTCACAACAAATCATGATACATGACAAATCACTGAATGACAAATGGCCATAAGAAAGGTGGATATGAAAAAGATCCCTTCAGGTGGGGACCAGGTTTGCTGGTCCAATAGAGCCTGGTGTAACCACTGAGACTATGGCCCCTAGTTGCCCTTCAGGTCTGGAATTGAACCCACAACTGTGGTTTCCAGCCAAACAAAGTACAGGCAAGTGAGTTAAACATTTACCTCAAGTAGACACACGCCCTGGAGAGAACAATCATGGGAGAAGGAACGGCTGCTTATGCACAGGGAGATAACTCAGGGTGCAGAAGAGTATGAAGGGATGGACACTGGGAGGAGGTAACTATGGGGAGGAAGTGGGAGGGGAGCTGCTGCATTGTAAATTTTGGTCAATGACATGAGACAAAGTATATGTGAACTGCTGTATGAAAAGTGAATTTACTCTGTAAATCTTCACCCAAATCCTAAAAAAATAAAAAAAATAAAAATAAAAAGATCCCTTCAGGCTTAAAGTGGACTCCAGAGCATAGCTCAAGGTCTGGGAGGATGGGGGACAAGCCACTCTTTTTTTTTTTTTTAATGATAAAAATTGAAGCTATAGGGCAAATGCTCAGATAGGAAACTAGAATTCAGAAGGGGAAATTTAAGTAGAGAGAGAACCTGAATCTCTCTGTGGGCCTACTGTCTTGAGTCTAAACTTTGGGGTATACTCAAAAGATACTCCTGGATGGTAGAAGAGGAATGAACTCAGCCAGAAGTCAAGTCGAGTGCTCAGGTGTCTGGGAAGGCAACTACTTGCAGGGGGTTGTTATTGATTGAATTATATCCTTCAAAAATATGTTATAAATCCTAACCTCTATGTCTGTGGTTAAAATTACACTCAGGAATGGGTTGTCTTTGCTATGTTAGTGAGGCAGGATTAGTAGAGGGTATGTCTTGAGTCAGTCTCTTACAAAATATAAAAGGAACGGATTAAGCAAGCAGAGATAGCGAAAGACAGAAACTAAGCCATTTGGAGATCTCCAGGAAACAGAAGCTGAAGAGACAAGGACAAGCCACTCTTGCTACACAGCCCAGGACATACTCTGAACTCCTAGCTGAGTTAGAGAGATGCGGCCCAAGACAAGACATATAAAACAGTGCCTACATGATAAGGCCTCGGTATCTACCTCGTTTTCAAGTAATAGTTTCAACCGCCACCCTCCTCGGCATTCTCAGAATTTCCAGCTGGGAATTCCATCACCTTCTCCCCTGCCCCCGCCCCCAACAAACACACAACCGCCTGCCGTAGTTCGCGACACAACTCGCACACCTGATTCAAGTGTATCGCTAACCGAGAGGCGGTCCCTCTGAGGCCCTAGGATTCCGTCTCTGCCTCCGGGGCCATAGTCCCTTCTCATCAAAAGCAAAGTCTATTGCCATAGTCTCCCACTCCCAGCCAATGCTGGACCCCAGTCCCAGTAGGTCTCTGGCCTCAGTTCCCAGGCCTTCCTTCACTTACCAGGTCTCCGCCCCCCATGACGGTGGAGACTTTGCTTCACAACGCGGAACCGGAACAATTAAGAACGATCGAGAGGAAATGTAGAGAACAGTTCAAAAACGATCTCCCCGAGTCTGAGCCAAGAGACCACCGGCCGCTACTCTCACCAACAGACCACTTCCGAGCGCGTCATATTGCCGCGTCGGCGTCGCGAAACGATGGCGTTTAGTACTCGTCGTCGTATTACGTCAGGGTGACGTCAGAGTAGTTTCCGCAAAGTTTGAGGCCTTAATGTTGCTATTTCTGTGGTTATATTTTAGCTTTCTACGGTTAGTACTTTAGCTGATCTCCTGAACTGTTCAAATGCTACAGCTATGTTCAGTTACAAGTGTGGTGGGGCTTTCCCCGCGGTTCTGTTGCGGTGACTGTACACCATGAGTCTTTCTCCAAGTCTACTCAGCGTCTCCCAAGCTAGACACCAGTGTGGACCAGCCGAGGCCACCTACCCACCTGTAACCTTCCACATTCCCACACTTCAGTTCTCCAAAGTGGCTGTCCTTAAACCGCGACCCTCGGCTAACCACCTTACTTCAGGCCTCTTTTCGAAGATAAATAGAAGCCGTCAGACCGAAATGCAATTATCTTCTATACACCAAAACTGTAGGATCTGACAGTTTCCGCCATTTCCTTTCTTTCTGGTTACAATGGAATAGAGGTCCCTCCTAAGGACCAAAGGCTCATCTTTGCTCTAGATCCCATCCCTCATATTCTCAGAGGAGACTTCCTATTGCTCGATTCCTCCTTCTCTCCTGTATCTTTAAGTCTCTCTCCATATTGGTTCTTTGACCTAATCATTTTAAAGATGCTGACTGTATTCTTTAAAAAAAAAAAAAAAAGTATTTCCCTCACCTTCTGCCCTCCTTTGTCCTTCTTAACCAAATTTAACCAGGTCAAACCAAATTATCTCCACCCAGGTCCTGCTTCCACTCCATCTTCATTCTTCCACTCACCAATTCTCCCCATGATTATCAGTAATCCCTTGTATTAAAATCCACATAGACATATTACATCCTCATCTTGACACCACTTAGCCTTTGATATTGATGACCAATGCCTCTTTATTGAAACATTTTTCCCTTGACTTCTCCCTATCACTCTCCAGAATGTCTTTTTATTTTTCTGGACCCTTCTCAGGGTACACTTTTGTTCCTCTTCATCCTCTTAGTTTCTATCTTAGGTCTTCTCATACTATTAAAAAAAAAAAAATTTCACTGCTGTTGTGTTGGTTCTGACTCATAGCAACCCCTCCTTGGGTTTCCGAGGTGGTATTTCTAGGGAGGTAGATTGCCCAATCTTCCTTCTGAAGAGTGGCTGGTAGGTTTGAACAGCCAGCTTTCTGGTTAGCAGTCAAATGCCTTAGGCACTACATCACCAGAGCTCCCTCTCCTATTATGTGCCTGTACATTTGTTTATATCCCTGTGCATTCCATAACAGTAGAGACCTTTGTCCTTTGTTCACCTTTGTGCTCTTATGCCTGGTACAGTTTCTGGCACATAGGAGTTGCTCAATAAAGTGTTACTAAATGAATGGTGTATAGATGTATGCATGCATACATTCTTTTTAATTTGTTTGTATACATTTTATTATGATTTGGGTGAAAGTTTACAGAGTAAATTCATATTCCATACAGCAGTTCATACACACTTTGTCTCATGACATTGACTGTAATGTCCCACAATGCAACAACTCCCCTCCCACTTCCTTCCCATAATTACCTCTTCCCTGTGTCCTTCCCTCCATGCACTCCTGCCTCCCAAGTTGTCTCCCTATGCATAGACAGCCCTTCTATTCTCCCATGATTGTTCTCTCTGAGGAGTGAATCTACCTAATGTAAATGTTCAGCTCATATCCCTGTCTTTTGTTTGGCTGGAAGCCACAGGAATGGGTTCAATTCCAGACCTGAAGGGCAGCTAGGGACCATAGTCTCAGGGGTTGCACTAGACTCTATCAGACCAACAAATGTGGTCCTTTTTTTTTTTAATGATTTTGAGTTTTGTTCCCCATTATTCTCCCACTCTATCCAGGATCTCCTACAAAGCTCACCCTCTGAGTGATTGACAGTGGTAGCTGGTTACCATCTAGTTCTTCTGGTCTCATAGTCATATAGGCTGAGGATCACATGTGTACCAGTTGCTTGGACTAATTGTTTCCATGCATCTTTGATTTTCTTCATTCTTCTTTGCTCTGGATGAGAAGAGATCCATTGTTGCTTCTAGATGGCCAGTTGCAAGCTTTTAAGATCCCAGTTGCTACTTTCCAAAGTAGGGTGTGGAACAATGTTTTTGTGTAGTATGTTGTGTCAATTGAGCTTGATGTTGCCCTGCGACCATGGCCCCAAGCCCACAGGTCCAACTACTTCCTTCTTCTGGGTAGTGGGCTGTGGCCAAGAAGTGACTACAACCTTGTCTCTTGTCCACTCTACTATATACCCAGAAATTCTTACACAACATGCAAATACACTTGTACATAAATACGAACATTGTCTGCCAACACTATACATGGTCATGGACACACTCTCCCCTGCATAGACATACCTAATCATTCCACCCATCCTTTCCACCCATTCATTCACCCGTAGATCAATGTTTTGCCATCACTGACAATGCAGTACTGTGTGTACAAAAGGGTTATCTTTGTTGTCTGTGTGCATGCATGCATTTTTTTCTTTTAACTGTGATTTGGGTTTACAGAGCAAATTCACTTTCCATAAGGCAGTTCACACACACGTTGTCTCATGACATTGACCACAATTTACTCCAATGCAATAGCTCCCCTCTCATTTCCTCCCAATAGTTACCTCTTCCCTGTGTTCATCCCTCTATGCACTCCTACCCCTTGAACTGTCTCCCTGTGCATAAACAGCCCTTCTTTTTCCCATGATTGTTCTCTCCAAGGAGTGTATCTACCTCTGGTACGTGTTCAACTAATATGCCTGTCTTTTGTTTGGCTGGAAACCACAGGTGTGGGTTCAATTCCAGACCTGAAGGGCAGCTAGGGGCCACAGTCTCAGTGGTTCTACCAGCTCTATCAGACCAGCAAAACTGGTCCCTCTTTTTTTTCCAAATGATTTTGAGTTTTGTTCCACATTGTTCTCCCTCTCTATCCAGGATCTCCTACATATATCCCCCTCCAAGTGGTTGACAGTGGTAACTGGGCACCATCTAGTTCTTCTGGTCTCATAGTTGTATTGGCTGAGGATTGCACGGTGTACCAGTCATGAAGGCTAATTGTTTCCATGAATCTTTGGTTTTCTTTATGCTTTGCTCTGGACGAGGAGAGACCCATCATTGCATCTAGATGGCTGCTTGCAAGCCTTTAAGATCCCAGTCACTACTCACCAAAGTAGGAGGTGGAACAATGTTTTTTGTGTAGTATGTTATGCGTGCATGGATTCTTAAAAGGACTGTGTCAAAAGTTGACCAAGATGTTTCCTTGAAACCTGACCTCCTAGGAACAGTAGTGATCATTAATATAATGTTAATACTAATATAGTAATAAAGAAGGCTGTATACTTGAAAAGACAATGGCTTTGACTCTCAATTCTATCATATATGTTAGTGATATAACCTGAGGACTTTTTCTCATCTGTAATATAGATATTATGCTACCTACTGTGCAGGGTTGTTAGGGGAATTAAATAATGTTTGTAAAGCTTTTCATATGATGTCAGATTGTTAAGATGTTCAATAATTCTATCTACTATGCTCCACGGCACATAACAACAACAACAACATGTTGTTCATGTCCATAGTAACTTCTCTTCCAGGGGTCCATTCTGATTGGCACCAAAGATTAGGAAAAGGTGCTACAACTTTGTGGTGGAAAATATTTGAAGACAGGACAGAGTTATTTTTGAGTAGCTGTTGGTAGCAGCTCTTGAGTTGATTTTGACTCATGGTGACCCCATGTGACAAAGCTGCTGGGTAGGTGCAAATGGTCACAGAGCTTTAACCTTTGTGCCACCAAGACTCCTTTTCTTTTCCTTTCAGTAGAGAAAATGAAAACTGTAAGAACCACACTGACAGATTTCCTTTCACTAGTGCTTCTCAAAATGTGACCTCAAAGTGAGAACTACCTATAATTGAATCTCGATGGTCTTCTTAACACTACAGATTCCTGGGCCCTACGCCTGACTCATGGAATCAGACTTTGGGGGATGAGACTGTTGCTGGACCAAATGGGGCCCTTCCTGGTGCACTGTAAAGCCGAGACACATCACAAATGGGGCCCTTCCTGGTGCACTGTAAAGCCAAGAGACACATCACAAATGGGGCACTTCCTGGTATGCTGTAAAGCCAAGAGACATGTCACAATGGACTTTGAGGAAAAAGAAAATAGTTTTATTGAAGAGCAGCAATACAAAGAGCCAGGGCACTTACCCAGATCTGACTTCCCAAGTAGATGTTAAGTTATAAATTTTATAGGGTTCAAGAAGAGGGAGCTATACATATTCACATCAGTTCTAGGAATTTGGGTGCGAATTGGCTGGTGTTTGGCTAAAATTTCCTTTGCCTCAGTTTAAAGAGACAGTCAGTTTTTAATGCAGTGCACTCCTGCTGGATAGGTTACACTGACTTTCTGTCATCAGCTAATGGGCTTAGGCAGAGTGGGAGGTAGTGGTGGTTCCGAGTCATCTGGTTCTGTGTTTTCCCCCAATGAGCATGTCCATGGGCCAAAACTGGTCTGATCTGGTTAGACTGGTTCTAGTTTACCATTCCAGCCTTAGTTTCCTGGAACATTTGGTATTTCCCTGCAAGATAATCTAACAAAGTGGTTAATCAAGGGACTTGGGGGATGCTATATAAAAAAAAAGTAGAAACTCGCTTTGGTGATTAAGACATTGGCCTCAGCTTCAAGACTTGCACTAAATTTCCCTGCTCTACTAGCTTTCATAGTTCCTACTTTCTGAGTTAGGTTCTCTAACCTAATCAACTATGTGAGTGGCCACTATACTTCCAGTAGATTCATTTTCTGCTTAAAGTAGCCAGAGTATCCATTCAGTTTGTAGAATTCTGACCATACACTAACCCACTCAGAAGAAAGTGCCTCAGTCT